CCCCCCCCCCCCCCCACGCCCCCAAAAACGGAAGAAGTCCGAAATTTAAACTGGGTCCTCATTATTAAAGTGAGAACTGATGTCGGTTATTTCATCGAACAGATCTACGGCTACATGTCATTTTAGTTATTGTCTCTGAAACAATTTAGAATATTTTTTGAAGAAATGAAATTCATTCGAATGGGTTTGCTCGCAAGTTCCATTTTGAGAATGATTAAATGCATGGACTTCAGAATCGGTTAAGTTCAGGGGTTGCACAAAATCCAGTTCATGTTTCATAAGGAACCCAATTTTGTGATAGATAGTAGTGAATAAAAGAAGTACACAGTAAGTGTTCAGAATCATTATGATCTTATATGACTAGTTCATCAACATTTCGATATGCGCCAAGCGGTCATTTCCCGGTTCTCGTTCAACTGTCATCTATAAGGTTATGGATGCTTTGTAACTGTTTGCACAAAGTCGAATTCGATCCAAGTTAAAATAGTCTTTCGGCATTCACCGAATCAAATGATATGCCTTATCTGTGCGTAAGTGACATGATTGGTGCTTGCAGAAGCCATAAACCCTCGTTTGAACTATAACTAAAATTCATGGTCGGTGGATAGCCACAGGAAGTCTATTAATGGAATTCTGCTTGAAAAAAGATCAACGGATGTCGTCATTTGAGGTGAGTTTGATCTGATGGCTTGCATTCAGTCGAATGCGCGATCAACGTAAAATGTGTGAGAAAGTGCGCAGTAATCAGTGCCTGGTCAGAATCCACTGATAGACGAAGCTGCACTGATGATTCTTGATCCGACTGGCTCAATCAACCAACCACCCAACTCACGTCTGTATTTGAGACAACAGCGAGAACTATTTGAGGCTTGGAGTCTGAGCAAAACCAGTCGTTATTACTTTTGCAATGCGATTTGATGAAATATGTCCCACCTATGCGCCCGTATTTTCTAGAGGATGTCTAATGTGGTCGCCAACAGCAGTCACAACAACCAATGTGCACGTTGGCTGCACATCTTGAAGCAACTGAGACATGTAGCAGTGGATATCATGCTCTAACTCCGGCAAATAAGTTATCTTTCATCACAATTGTAAACTGTACAGGAACTAGCAAAGAATCGAAACGCGTCAGGATAAATCTCTTTTATATATTTTTTCTCCAATCCTACTCCCGAAAAATTTAATTACCTTTAGAAATCACATGAGGTTTCACAAATTGCTTTCCATGTTTTCTTTATTTTTTTGCGACACCAACCTTCTGGAAGGACCCGAAAACAATACAAATTGCTGCAAAAGACAGTAGATAGCTGCATAAGTTAGGCGATGGCGAAGTGATTCGAATACAGGAGATCTACACCGATGTGAGACAGAATTGTATTGTTCGAATCCAGACGCTCATTATCAAATTGATCCGAAACCTGCCTAAGCATTTGGCGAAGAACAGATGTACGTGGGGAAATGTGTAGCTAACATTTCTCACCATCGTTGTTTCTGAAAAGCATTTTCATCAAGAGTATCAAATAGACTTGAAAATTCCCTCTGATCTGAAAATCCGCGCGCTTACGCAGTAGCATCATTTAAGCTATGGGTCTCCTAATTACTTTTATGCACGAATTACATACTTCCAGTGAATTTGCAGATGTCGGGTTTAAACTTAACACGACCTTACCACAGATCCATACCATTTTAGTGGATCGGAAATCAAAATTCGATAACTGTGTCCTAACCAAAGACTGTGATGTAATTGCGACAATCCACGTCGATCAAACAAGGTAGTGCCCAATAAAAATCGTTTGTTGTAGATAGATAGAACTTCAAATCTTCAAAATAAACTAAAGGGAATTTGATATGATGCACACCATACGGATTAGGATATATTGCTCTTACACTTACTTACCTCAGTAAACCTGGTGAGACGATGAACTAAGCCGCACACGAACGACCTATATCTTTAATACCTTATTCGAATCTCCAGTCCAGAAAATGCCAATCATACTAATTCGGGTTCATTTTCACATCGGAAATTAACAGCATTAGACACAAAGTACAAGAATTACAGATCAGAATAGAATAAAATTGTACGAACGTATCTGAGGTAAGTGGTAGTTGAACGAAGGAATCGCTAAACATGACTCTTTCTTTGAAAGTCCGATGGTGTTGGAGATCGTGTGCACGTGTGGTGTGTGTATGTTTTGTTGGAAGCCTGGTGTGTTGTGTGGTTCGGGAAAAATGCCATTAGTGTTCCGTCCTCGTGATACATGACTGGATAGTAGTGAAGGATTTCTGTCGAGCTGAGGTGTTCACGATGACAGCTGATGCAATGCCGTAGTGAAATTCATCAGCATTGTCAAGTTGGATAAACCGCCAAAATTCTTCAGTGTTTCGTAAAAGAACTCCGGTGAGTCTTTGGCCAGTTTACTGAGAAACAACAAATGACCTCCGGTCAGTGCTTCTTGGCCGTGCCTGTGAAGGGAACGGGAGCAATATGACACTGAGGGGCATATGGAGATTATGAGGAGTAGTGCTGATCGTAAGCGTTGTAAATTGTCAGGTGTACACGAATTTGATAGGGGGAGCAGGGAAGATTCGAATGCTGTCGTGATAACAGTCCGTTAATCAAAAAAAGTTAATCAAACGATTTGTGAACAATGAAAAAATGTAGCTGCCAGAAAATTAAAATATATGTATATGGATGAGGGTGAAACGTGCGTAAATAATTCCGCTTTTTTGAACGAAGTTATCTTGTCTCAACATGAATGGTTAACTAAAAATTAAACTGCTCACCTCTTGTTATGTCACCCAAGTTGTATATCTGCTCTACGAAGGAAATCAAAAGAAATTGTGTGATAACAGTGGTTGTGATGTCATCGCTCGTTTGATGCCAAGTTATGCTAAACCGATAAATAGAGGAGCACCGTGAAACAGATAGTGTTTAGAAATGGAATGAAAGGTGTGAACGTACTCTTTCTTTATCTGAAAATAAAGTATACCTTTTGGATAAAAACTAAAAAGCGACTAGTCCAGTAAATGAGGAGAACATTTTATGCATGAATGGTACGCGTATTCAAATATAAACTGTTCTGCCACATTTTTGAACGCGTAGGATTCATTCTGGGTTTCAAATGACCCTATATTCGCTACTTTTTTACATCAGCATGCATGCAAGTTTCATCATTTCACGAACATTACTGTGTCTATATTGCGTTTTTGCAGCCTCTTGAGGTGAATCTCAAACTTTCCTGAGATTCACCCGAAGGACCAAAAGGAAATATTTACAAAACAGGGTATCGGTCTTAAAGCCCGTTTGCCTCAAATTTTATCCCCACTGAGCGCTTATTCAACGTGAATATGGTAACGAGGAAAAACTTGTGTTCAACAGCAGTCACGAGATCATGAATCTCATATAACTTGTGTACTCACATCCTTACTCTGTATTACGTCTGTAGGAAACGTTAATTTACGATTTGGCTCAGAGTGACCGTTCCTTGGAGTTAACCTTACCACTTTCATCAATTTAGATAGTATCCTTGACCCTATATGGATGACCTGATTTGATTACATGCTTTCGTTGGATAGCATACTGTATCTTCCTTGATTGATGCTGGGAAAAATGAAATGAGTTACTGTCATTGAGGATAGCAAACAGGAATCGGTAAGTGCCAGTATGTGCTGTTAACATCGTGGTATCACACACACACACACCTCACATGCGAGGGGTCCGGAGTTCAAATTTAGGAGGTAATGTTACCCTGCACTTTCGTGCGCCGGTTTCGGTTGCTGTCTTTTGGTTCCACATTTGGATAAAAGAGCAGAATGAAGATTGGAATGTTGAAAGCTCTGCTGATAAATAATAAATAATAATAAATGTATTTTCACTTTCTCTTTTATTTATTGAATATACAAATGTACAGTCAACATTCAGGATGGGGGGCCGCAACCATGCAAAGGCTGCCTGGGAAGACGGATGGCGGTGGAGTGGTTTGAACCCGGGACTCACAGGTTACAAGTTGGTGACAACCATTTGGCCAGCACCGCCCATGCACTTTAAAAGAAACAAACCTTGGGTGTGTAGGGGAAATCTGAAGGACACATAGTCCAAATCATTATCAGTTGTTCCAAACCACCACTTGAAAAGGACTATAAGTTAAATACAATTTATGTTTATTTACCCTTCAACGGCAGACACGATCTGAGTTCAAAAAGTAATCAAAGCTCCGTGAACCTCTTCAAATTCGTTACTACCAAATAAAAACGATCATAGAAAATATAATTTACCAAACGCATTCACCAATCCAAAGTAAGCACATTAAGATTACTTGTGTTTTTCACTAACCATTCTGCGTTGGACCGTTTCAACCACTCAGAGGTTTCTTCTTCACCCCATTTGGAGAATGAAGGTGGTCCTGCAGTTTCGGGTTTGGTGACGTTTGTGGTCTCCGGGGATTTGGGTTCTGACTGCGACTGAAATTGATGTAACAAGGGGGGAGGGAGGAACACCGAACTGTATCATAAAAATCGGAAAGTGTATGAAGCCCTCGAGATTAAGACCATTAACAATAACAACAACATTAATTCCGTTCTGGTTCACAGAACCATGTAGACAGTTTCCTATAATAGTGAGATGATTATCCAACTGTGAAAGCAAAACCTCAATTTAGCGGTTTGAGTTCCATGTGTTATCAACGGAAAACATTTGGATATGCCGAGATCATCCGTCGCTGTATGGTGTCTATTATTACACAGAGTAACTGTTCTAATTGTTAAAATTAGAAGTATGTCGCATTACTGGACCTGGTTTACATAAGGAAAAGACGCAAAAGTTTACTGTAACTGTTCACAGATAAATCATACATAAAAGATATTTCACGAAGGCCAAATTTGGGTATCAACCAAAACGAACACATTTGACAGAAGCAAACAAAATTTGAGAACTTTTATGAAAACTAATTGGAGCAAGCTCATTGATCAATTGCACTCAAAGCTTTGATAAACTTACCGGTTCAACACATTTAGTTGGAGATATGGATTGTGTAGTACTGTCAGCATTTTCTGGGTTTTTGTTTGCAACTTTATTCAGAGAGAAAAGCAGTTCTTCAAATTTTTTCTCGAATGGGTATTTTCCGGAGAAATCCAAGTAAATGCGGGCTCCCAACATGATTCCAAGCCAACCATTGGGTCTATAAGCTGGTTGAACTCGAAGAAATAAAAGTGGTTTTTTCATGCGGTAAGCGTATTGAGCTTCTGGAATACGAAATAAAAATGCAACAAATTGTTTCCACGTTCAGGACAGATTTACTTATGGATAGTTGTATGCGATCTGTTTTAATTGTAACCGACGACCGTCTTTTAGACTCCACGTTCGGGCATAACCCTCAGTTATTCAATCCAAACGTGCAATCGTAATAAAGCTAAGTTCTGCTTGTCACAGCTCATCAATAGGGCA